CCTCCAGGAGCACCGAGAGGAGTAACACCCACACCGAGAGCTCAAGGCCGAGGAAAAAGGAGAATAATGGATTATTTGATGACCCCTCAAAGCATGGATTTTCCTAGCCAACAAGGATGCCAAAGATCAACACCTTCAAGATCAATTTATGAAGAAAACAAGTTGAAGCTTATACGAGAGTTGGAGACATTCTTTGGGCACACAAGCAACGAAATGGTGGATGGAAGATCATTTGAAGAATGCGTTGCTTGGTACCAAGCCGGAGTGTTACGGGGTGACAATGTTCAAGAAGCTTATGGAAATTATGTTACCGAGCAAGTCACCGCACCATACCAACTCGAAGGAAAGAAACGAGACTTCAAGGAATTAAGGGCACACGTGAATGCCTTAATTGGCAAGAGGTAAAATTTTGAAGCCTCAATTTTTGGTGTACATAATAGCTAGCTTGTTCGAATTATGCTTTTTGGAACATTATATAAATTGCTAGCATATGGTTTATTTCTTTACTTTGTCTAGTATGTTAATTGCTTTAAAGTCTCAAGATTTTAAATTGGACTTAGTAATTGCATGTGAGGCGTATAATTGAGAAAATAAAATTGAAAGGGGGAAGAAAAATTAAAAGATAAAATTCAATACGCAACCCCGCGTTATAGTCTCAATATACGTTTAGGACCGTCCAAAATTAAAATCTCTAGGTCTTAAATGTGTTAAACCCGTCAAATGGCTAGTCGCAATAAAATTGGACAAAAAGATTATTTTTCAAAAATTTGACATAGCCAAATGACTTGGGTATAAGTTTCGGCATCATCAAAAAGGGGGAAATTGTTAGGAATATATTGTATAAGTTTTGATCAGCCAAATGTATTTTGTAGACCCCAATTTTATTTTATTTTAGTCAGTTCTGGTTCACCAAGTATAGTGCACCACTGCCATGAAGCCTACATGAAGTCTACGAAAAAGCAGTTTTAAAGAAGAATAAATGAAAGCGGGATCATAGCTTAACAGATTTATGAAGCATCAAGTTACTAAAGGTTGAGATGGACGAGATGGTAGAAAACTTGTTGAAGTATGCCTAATGCGAGATGATCCACAATTCGATTCTCATTAGAAGCAATTTTGGTGTAAAGATGAGTTGCTATCGTGAAGTAGTAATATCAGGAGATGATGTCATCATGATAGTAATATCAGGTTATACTATCATGAAAGAACAATTTTTATCGTGATAGTTGAGAATTATCGAGTGATGACGTCACGACTATCGGGTAATGACATCACAATGTGATAAAGCTAGTGGAGAACACGTGGAGGAGATAAGTCAAAAGAATTTAAGTCTTGGATTGTATCAATTGGATACCTAGCCAAGATGGAAGAAGCCTTGCCGAGCAAAGCAAATGGTCCACAGTTCAATTCCCACCTGAAGCGATTTTATGATTTCATAATATTGGTTCATGATATACAATGGAACGTGATACATGGTCCATGATACAAGGTGGAACATGATAGCTAGCTCATGATATGAAATAGAACATGATATATATGGTCCATGATACAAGGTGGAACATGATATATATTCCATGATACAAGGTGGAACATGATATATAGTCTATGATACAAGGTGGAACATGATATACTATTGGGACATGACTTCATCAAAAGGAGCTATGACATCATGATAGAATTAGACAGAAACATTTTTTTGAAGCTCTGTTTCTGCAGAAGAAGTCGAAGGAGAAGAAGAAGCCGATATACGAAGGAGATCTTTTTATTACTCAAGCAAGAATCAGCAGATAAATTATTTGATCAACTTGGCACATCAGATCAATAATTCAACAAAAGTCATGCCAGAGAAAATTCAAATTTAGAGGCTATCCATTCCAAAGAAAAGCTTTGTCAGATTAAAGGAGAGCAACGGCAAGATTTCTCAAAATCTTCTGACAGACGGCGAAATGATTTTTGCAGACCAAGTTGGCAAAATTAATTGATCAACTACAATTCAAAATGGACGATCGAGATCGAAAGTTGATCAACGGGCAAATAGCTTTCATCTGCTATAAATTGCCCAAGCAGACTTGAAGACAAGCATGACTTGAACAAGAAAATTATCCAATCAATCATCAAGTGATATATTGAGCTATACACGATCAAATTCAAGTCTGAGTGAGAGAAAAATCTTTGTATTTCATTGTAAATCTTCTACTGAGTGTAGAAAAGGGGTAGAGTAACTAGGGAGAGTGAAAAACCCAGTTGGAGTGTAGCTTTGTGCGTAGCACTCGGTTGTAACGGGCAGAGTAACAAGGGGAGCTTGTGAAAACCCGGTGAGAGCGTAGCTTTGTGCGTAGTTCTCGTGGTGTAGGAGTACAGCTTGGTGCGAAGTACTCGGGAAGGCGGAGTAACAAGAGGAGCTTGCGAAAAACCTTGGTGGAGTGTAGCTTTGTGCGAAGCACTCGGAGAAGTGTCGTTGGGCACTTATTCACTATTGTATCTGGGTGATTGAATAATAGTGAATTTCCTCCTTGAAGTGAAAGGAGAAGAGTGGACTAGGAGGATTACACCACCTCTGAACCACTATAAATCTCTCTCTCTATTTACTTACTCTGCTCATATATATTTCGTGCATGCCTATATTATTTGTGAACTAACCCGTTACGGTTTATTGCGTATCTTTATCTGTCTGGGTTTGATAGTTCCCTCGTTTGCATGCAAGTGAAATTTTATATACATCATCCTACATCTATATCAAGTGTTTCTAACGTGATGCATGTATAGAATCTCTCTTGAGCACGACACAATTTAAAGCATAACACTTTGCCGTTACAATTCCGCTGTGCACACTCTAAGTTGTTATACTTGTTTATGCTTGTTACTTAGAGTTGAAGTTACAAAGTGTTGTTTGCAGAAGTAGTTTGAAAAAGTTAGAGAAGTCTATTCACCCCCCCCCCCCCTCTAGACTTCTCACCACCCTTTCAGGACCAACAGTACACACAAGACATGACATGGCAAGAGATATTCTATTAATTCATAAATTAGAAGATAAAATGAGAGGATTATCGTTTGCGAAGGATAACGAGCACATGTTCGCTGCCCCGCCCATTCATTCTTATTTCGGGGAGTAAAAAACCAACACTTTTCCAAACAAGGCTCTCATTTTATCTCATAGTTTCATAAAGCATCAAAACAACACAAAATAGTAAGATATACTAGCTGAAAAACCAGCAGAAATTCTCAGAATTTTTAACCTGGATTGCAGAATTTTTTGGAGAAAAACGATAACACATTTTGACACAAAATTTATCAGATAAGAAGTAAATTGAGTCTAGATTGTGCACAAAAAATTTCAAGTCAATCCAAGGTCTAGACATATTTTTCTCACAATTTTTCCCAACACTGCGCCAGATAGAAAAATAACTGGCAGCATATTACCAAAACTTTACAAAATTTTTCTGGAACAACCAAAACATATTTTTAACAAAATCTTTTTACAGACATCAAATACCACAAGTCTAGGTTCTCCAGAAAAAAATTCATGACAAAATGAGTTAAAAAAGTATTTTTCACGAATTTAATTTTCAAACTGCGCCGATCAGAATTTTTCAGACATGCAGTGATCACAATAAAATCACCAAAATCCATTATTTTAGAGAAAACACACGATCATATATTGTCTAACCTTTCATGGCATATCAAATGTCCAGATTCAGTGATTATGCCTCAAATTTTATGCAAATTCATTATTGAGTGAGATGGAGATAAGAACAAGCAACAGGAAGGATGGAAACTAAAACAGCATGCAGTTAAGGGAGTTCTTCCGATCCATAAAAACACAATATAAGAAATGAAAATGTGTTCATTATCTCAATACACATGGAAATATATGACCTGTTTACCTGAAAAAAGCGGTTACCAATTTTAAAAATGATTTTTAAAATAATTTTAAATAAAATAAATAAATAAATTTTTTTTTAAAAAAACCTAAATTATCGGCGGCTTCGTCTCCATGTCCAGAGAGGCAGAGACCACCGGCCATGAAGACGATGAGACCATCGTCTCCATGGCCATGGAGACGGAGATGGTAGTTAGTTGTTTTTTTTATTAAAAAAAATTAATTTTAATTAATTATTTTATTTAAAATTATTTTAAATTGATAAACGCTCTTTTAGGTAAAACATGTCATTTTGGATCTAATTGTATGATTTTATGTTGTTCAGGGACCCAATTGCATTATTTTTGAGTTCGATGATCTAATTGCAGTGCAGTTGAGTGACCTATTTGATTCTTATTCCTTTAACTAGTATTTTTTATGCGTGATGCGCAAAAAATAGGTGCCCAATATTAATACATTATATTAAAATGTTAAATTTATTTAGATTTTAGATATTTAAATTATTCTAAATAATAATAATAATAATAATAATAATGTAAATCATTTTTATAAATTTGATATTTATATTTATGTAATAATTAACATATAACTCAAATATTTAATATGTATATATTATTATTAATGAAGAAGATAAGAAAATATATGGTGGATGCATGTGCATGGTAACAATAGTGGAAAAGATAACGGAAGTTATAACGGTAGGAGTCTTTTTGTCCAAAATATTTTAATGTACAACCTTTATAGCATAATGTACAAAAAAACTTAATGGAAAAAAGGGACATAAATCAGGGGTATAACTTTTATTCACACTTATTATATTTTTAGAAAAATAATCACTCGTGATCCTAATTCTTTAAAAAATCTGAGTTTAAAATGACCACGAGATGTCCTAAAAGGACTACAAGTGATTATTTTTTAAAGCAGAAAAGACCATTGGAGGCCATTTAAAATTCAGATAACCACAATTAGTAAATCACTGATAAGACCATTGGAGGTAGTAACTCCATTTTTCCTGAAATGAATCGAAAATAAAAATATGGGATGGATAATAAGTGTAAATATAAGCAATTTATAGGGCCGATTGAAAATTTTTATTTATTAATTTTTTACGGTGAACCAGTATCTCTCGAGCCACAGCAGGTCAGCCACTGTGTGGAGCACAACTGCGATGGCTCTCTCATTTGCTCAATCTACCTTCTTCGTCTCCACTAGGCCCTCTCTCTTCCTCCGCAGAAATGGCGGCAGCCTTAAACGATGTAATGTTCTCGCCTGTTTCACCAACTATTCTTCTTCCTTTCCCTATTCTACTGGTGCTATGCCTGCAGATAACAAAGCCCCCGTCCATCGCCACAGGTGGAGGGCACCCGTCGCCTCAGTTCTTGAGCTTGGTGGCCTCAAGGTTTCCAAGGATGGTAATATGAAGAGTGAATTTCTACTCTCAATATTAATAACCCTTGTGTTCCAAATCGCATTGGGGTTCTCTCAATATTGCGTTTTGATAACTGGGTTTATCTTGTTTTAGTTATTGGAATTTTCTTATTCTTTTGTGAATGTAGAATCTTGGTGCAGTTTTGTTTTTCTTTCAATATTTGACATGCTTGTTGGCTTAAATGTGCAACTTCCTCTTGTAAAATGTTAACCTTATTTTGTCCCTATGTGTTGTGTTTCTTCTCCAATTTTTATGTATTCTATAATTATTAGTTGACATAAAAGTTTGTGTCAAATTAATTTTATTTTATTTATTTATTTATTTATTATTTATTTTTTTACCTGGTGCTACTAGAGTTTTCTTGATTGAAGCTATCCAAACTTTGCATACATGAGTTAGCTTTTATTTTTAACTCTTCTGTTTGCTTCTTTAAAGTATGAGGTAGTATATATAGTTTGGGTACCTTTGAAATGTGAGTATATAGTGACTAGCACACAATTATATTTTATCACCGTTTCAGATGTGTACTAATGCAATCAAAGTTAGTTCAGAGCATGCCGCATGTGTAATTGTTGTGTTGATGTTTATATTATTTGTTTCCTAAGTTATTTAACGGTAATTGAGTACTGATCAGATGGTTTGATATGCAGAAATAGTGAGGGATGACCCTACGAACAATGTCCCAGATACAATATTCTCAAAGCTGGGAATGCAGCTTCATAGGAGGGATCAACATCCACTTGGTATCCTGAAGAATGCAATCTTTGATTACTTTGACACGAATTATCCAAACAAATTTGACAAGTTTGATGATCTATGCCCTATAGTTTCTGTTAAACAGGTAGTGCTATCAAGAACTTCTAGAAATTGTTTTCTGGTTCTAAGGTTTTTCCTTTTTTGTTATTTCATTTGTCTCTTCTGGTTTCTCTCCTTCACTTTCTAAAAGTAGTGATTTCAATCCTTTTAATTTGTTTGATTTTTTTCTTGATGGCTGGCTGCCATATCAGTTTAATGTTTAGAACTTACTATCTTCTGTAAGAAGTGAAATTGGGATCCTATTTACTCTTACTTCTGGGTAATTCCATGAGTTCCAAAATTTTGACGCAAGATTGATTATGCAGCATTGATGAGTTAGTACTCATCATTTTCTTGAATGCTTTGCTATGTTGATCTATCATGTGCATCTTTTTCTCTTTGTTACATAATGCCATTTCCTTCAGCTACCTCATATCAGTCTTTTAGTTTTGATGTTAGGATTTAGTCTAACAATTTAATTGATAGAATTTAAAAATATTGCTTTCTTTTTCCCCCGTGATATGTGAAGTCTAAGGCATATTTTTCATCTTATCAAACTGACCAGGATGCTATCATGCTAATGATTTCTTTAAGAATACCTAATTCCCATGAATGATACAGAACAAGCTACTAAACTGTTATGCAAATAATATTGGAATTCCTAATTCATATACATTCTTCTTTATCAATTACTTCTTGCAACTTTCTGATGCTATATTTCTTGTTTTTTTGGATTATTGATATTTGATGTGCATTTCATAATTGCTGATACAATTGCAGAACTTTGATGATGTACTGGTACCTCCTGATCATGTTAGCAGGAGCTACAATGATACATATTACGTGGACTCTCAAACTGTTTTGAGGTGCCACACAAGTGCACATCAAGCTGAGTTACTGAGCAGGGGTCATACTCATTTCCTTGTTACTGGAGATGTTTACCGTAGAGATTCTATTGACTCAACTCACTACCCTGTTTTCCACCAGGTACCTCCCTCACTAATCTTGGCGTATTTATCTATCTATTTATTTATCTACTTTTTGCTGTGTAGAAGAATGACTAGTCTTTTCTATGCGCGATACGCAAAAACATATGCCCAATATTTATATTTTTAAAAATAACTAACAAATCCTTACTAATTAAAATCTATATGAAATCAAATTTATTTATTATATTAATCCAATATAATGTCTACAAATATTATTATCATTAAAGAATATAAGAAAATATATGGTGGATGCATGTGCATGGTAACAATAATGGAAAAGATAACGATGTTATAACGGTAGGGGTATTTTTGTCCAAAAAATTATATAGTACAACTCAAAAAGCACAATGTACAAAATGATTAGCACTAAAAACATGAACATAAATTAGGGATATAACTTTAATTGAGACTTGTTATGTTTTCAGATATTTATTATTTTTATTGACAATTTTCTCCCAAACTATGTAGATGGAAGGAGTTCGGGTCTTTTCTCCAAATGATTGGGAGGGATCAGGCACTGATGCCACATCTTATGCTGCTGCAGATCTAAAGATATGTCTCGAGGGATTGGCTCAACATTTATTTGGTATACTTTTACTTTAAGTTAATTGAATGCTAAGTGGGAGTTGATGGTGATGCATTTTATTAGTTCAAAGACAGAATATGACGGTGGCAGTAAAGCTTCTTGTGAACAATGCTAATGAGACTCCAATGCTATCCAACTGCATTCTTAGCAGTTAGATCAGTTTTTTCTTTCTTGTCTACTCACCATGGAATTGTATATAATTGGGAAGTGTGTGTTCTAGACTTCTAGAGTTCTAGTGGATCTAAAACTTTGCAAATCACTAAAGTCTTTTTCTATTTCACTTCTCTGCCGTTTCCCTAGGCTTTCTTGATTGGCAATTGACCCCAGCTTGTGCTGCCTGTGATCGTTTTCTTCATGGTTACCTCTTACTAGGCTAAGTTTTAAAATCATTCTTCAGGTGGTGTGGAGATGCGTTGGGTCGACACATACTTTCCCTTTACCAATCCATCATTCGAATTAGAGATATATTTTCAGGTTTTCCTTGCTTTTTCACTTCTCACAATGATTATAAAAGTATATACTACATAATAATTTAGTTACTTTCTTCTTTTTACACTATTATGGCGGTCTTTTCCTTATGATATTTATTATGTATTTACTTTGGCTACATGTGCATTTCACATCTCAGATAATGCATTATCTATCTAAACAAACCCATTTTTCTTGATTGGAAATTTTTTATTAAAGGCACCAGATGGATGCACTGTGCACCCAAGTGTCCAAGTAGTACATACAGAATCAAAGAGACCTAGAACCAAACCAGAACCTGATAATAAGAGTTAATACCTCCAATGGTCTTCCGAGTATTAGCGATTTACCAGCTGTGGTCATTTGAGTTTTAAATGACCTCCAATGGTCCTCCATGTTTTAAAAAATAACCACCCGTGGTCCTTTTAGGACGTCTCGTGGTCATTTTAAACTCGGATTTTTTTAAGAATTAGGACCATGGGGGGTTATTTTTTAAAACATGGAGGACCATTGGAGGTCATTTAAAACTCGGATGACCACAATTGGTAAATCGCTAATACTCGGAGGACCATTGGAGGTATTAACTCCTAATAATAACATACTTGAAATCAAAATCTCATGAATTCTCCCGAAGAAAAGAAAAGTATTTCAGTTTAGAACTACAAAAACACCTCCAGAAAAGAACATAAAAGTATAATTTATCCACACAAACACACACACACTTCTTTGAGGGTTTCCATGAATCAAATCTTCTGTTCTCTGAATCTCATACTTTGCCTTTTCATTCTAGTTAAGTCATTCTAAGCTGTTGAGCTTTTGGTAGATGTTTGTGATTTTAAACATGTGTTAACACACCTGCTAGTTAACTTACCGTTATTAATTGCTTGACATTTAGTTAATTCTGCCTAACAATCAACAATTTGCGAGCTTTGGACTTCTTTCCAGTTGTGTATGATCTCACTCACAAAGATCCAAGCTCACTTCTTATGACGATGCTCATAAACTGTTTCAATCAATTGTTTCCTTGGCTTTTCCAATCCTATTTTATTATAGTAAAAATAATTACTGAAAACCTTATGAACAAATAAATTGATCAAATGAAGAGTTAATACCCAATTTGGTCCCTTGACTATTAGGATTTCACCAATTTGGTCCTCGACTACCAAAGTTGCTCAATTTAGTCCCTAACTATGCAATTTTTACCTAAAATGGTCCCTCGACTATTAGGATTTCACCACTTTGGTCCTCGACTACCAAAGTTGTTCAATTTAGTCCCCAACTATGCAAATGTTAACCTGAAATGTAAGTTTAGTGTGGATTTGGGGACCTTTTTCGAGAGTCGAGGACCAAAGTGGTGAAATCCTAATAAACGAGGGACCATTTTAGGTAAAAATTGCATAGTTAGGGACTAAATTGAGCAATTTTGGTAGTTGAGGACCAAAGTGGTGAAATCCTAATAGTTGAAGGACCATTTTAGGTAAAAATTGCATAGTTAGGGACTAAATTGAGCAACTTTGGTAGTCGAGGACCAAATTGGTGAAATCCTAATAGTCGAGGGACCAAATTGGGTATTAACTCTCAAATGAATGTTTCTAACTTTTTGTTTACCAGACTACCAGTAGAGTAAGAGTCACATTGTAAGGATAATGTTCCAAATTTTACTGAATATTCCAAGTTCCTCAATATGCAGAATAGTTTATTTCCTTTTTTTCTTGAATATTACAATGTTAAATAATATTTTTATTAGAGAACTTATAGTGTACTATTATTGTTGACTTGTTATGGAATTGTTTACCAGGAAAAGTGGATGGAAGTATTAGGTTGTGGGGTAACAGAGCAAGAAATACTGAAAAGAAGTGGGAGAACCAATAATGTTGCTTGGGCTTTTGGACTTGGATTGGAACGATTGGCAATGGTTCTCTTTGATATTCCAGATATCCGACTTTTCTGGTCTGCAGATGAGCGTTTTACTTCTCAAGTAAATTTCCAGCTTGTTTTATTTTCTCTCGATTTTGATTTTGCGTTATTATTATGAATCCTATCATCTTTTTCCTACCTGATGTTTTCAATACTGTGTTCCTGATTGCATATAGTTTTCAAGTGGCCAACTTGGAGTGAAGTTCAAGCCATTTTCTAAGGTATTGCTTAACATTTTGTTTCTTGACCTTTCATCTCTTAATTTTTCATCTCATTTGTTTTACAATGAGTTGCTAAAACACTTACGTTCCAGAAATTTTTTTAATATATTTTGTTTCTTAGTCCTATACAGAGAGTACTTTAGGTATTAACGCATTCAACCTTTTAATATTGTGGTTGAAATATTTGTAACCTTGCAGTATCCTCCATGCTACAAAGACATGAGTTTCTGGATCAGTGATTCATTCACCGAGAACAACCTTTGTGAAGTTGTTAGAGGAATTGCCGGGGATCTTGTGGAAGAGGTATGCTATATCAATGTTCGGTACTTTTGAATCTTCTTGTAGAGACGGGAGCTTTTGAAAGATACCCACTTATTTACTCATGGTTTAATGTTACTGTTGTCATCACTGAAAGGAATATTCTGTTCTTAAAAGAATCCTTTTTTTCCAAAAAAAATAAGGGGTGTAAGTTTCGAGAATCTGTACCAAGGTATAATAATTAGAGTGCCTCTCTAAGATTATGTATGCCCAATATATTCACTAGTATTATCATCCTAATTTAAGTAGTTTCTCTTCTCCTACAGTTGGAATGCAAGCATGCTATTAACTTTAGGGTCTTAGTAGATAATAAAGTTGAAGCAAGTTTAAGTTAGGCCTATTATGCAAAGACTGCTGATATATTTTGATTATCTTTTAAGCAGCCTGTATAGAGTGGCAAAAGTTAAATATAGAGTTTGTAGCAATTGAATGGACACTTGGGCTGCACATTTTTTTGGGGTGACGAGGGAAACCTGTAGTCACTAACCGAGGGTGTGCCCTGGGTAAACCCCCGTCTTTTGACCTTAGCCGGCAAAGGACCACAACGAGGTAAACCAGCCTTGGTTGCCCATAGTTGACTAGCTCAAACCAAGAAGGCTAAGATTCAAACTCGTGACCTTGTGGTTACAAGTTTGTATTCTTAGCCATCTTGGTTGGGGTTATCCCCTTGGATTGTACATTTATGTTTATATATTATATGCTCAATACACCCCTTCTCATGTGGGGGCCGGTTACTTTTGAAGGGCTACACGTAACACCGTGGGCCCTAATTTGCATAGGGTTGGCTCTGATACTTAATTGAAGGATGTGTTTCATCTCAATTAAATGACTAAGTTGGTAGTTGAACTGCACATTTATGTTTATATATATATATATATATATATATATTCAACAGTAGCAAGGTAATTTTGTGATTGTAAAGTGAAAACGAGAAAAAGAAGAAACAAGGTATAATTGGATGTGTGGTTTAATGGTGCCGAACTAAGAACAATTTAGAGTTCTGCAGATTTTCTGTCCCATTGACCCATCTTCTAATTTCAGGTGCAACTAATAGACAACTTCACGAATAAGAAAGGAATGACCAGTCACTGCTATAGGATTGCTTACCGATCCATGGAGCGCTCACTCACAGATGAGGAAATAAACGATTTGCAGGTTCGTTCACACATCTCGAAACCACTCATATAAATATGTGAGTGACTACCACTTTTGTTAAATGTCTATATTTATGAATGCAGTGGAAAGTAAGAGATCAAGTGGAGAGCAAATTAAAAGTCGTTCTTAGATGAGTATTCCTTCCTTATTTTCCGCTTTTCTTCTCTCTGTACCGGGAAAATATATTATACCTTTTCTGGACTTGTTTTACCCTGCTAGTTCATTGCACTTGTAGATTGTATAGGGAAAGGAAAACCTTAGTGAATTTGCTGTCATTTTTAGTTTTGAAGCCAATTGTTCTAATAATATGTCAAGAATGATGCAATAACAAGATCTATACTTACACTCTTTCTTATTCCTTTTTTTTTTTTTTTTTTTTTTTTTTTTTTTTTTTTTTTGAAAAAAACAATATTTTGGGTCTCTAAAATAGTACTCCTTTCTCATTTTATATGCATTTAGTACTATTCATTGGTCAAATTATTATTATTATTATTTGCTTATTTTCTTTAATAGTTCCTTACATTTTTAAATTTGTCCTATTGTGTTTTATAAATTTTGTAATGTATTTTTTAAATATACAAATTTTATTTACTATAATTAAATTAAATAATTCAAAAAATTGAATTGTAAATAGTGAGTGAATCCTTGTTTGGTAACATAGTTTATTAGTCAATTTTGGTTTATTTGACTACTGGCTGTTAGCTTTTTGTAATAGTATATTATTCTAAAATGTTAAAATTTAAAAAGTTGTTCAAAGCAGCTTTTTCGATCAGCTTTTTGAGGAAATCATTTTGCATGTAATCAACTATCAACTAACAACTAATTTAGTAATTTACCAAACATCTTTTTAGATTCAGCTAATGTCATTAACTACTCAAACCCACTAATCGAACCAGCTAATAGTTATTTACCAAACATCACCTATACGTTGCAAATATGTTCTTTAACTATCCTCCCAAAACTGAATAATTTTGTCCTCATGTCACAAAATAGCCTCTCGGACGGCCAAATAATCATATTAAATGATATTTAAAGAGTATTTGCAACAGTTAGATATTATCAAAAAAAAAAAGTATAAAGAAAAAAGTGTATAATTAGCTCTCTAAGTTTAGTGGATAGTGCCAAAGGTCTTGTGGTCGAGTGGCATAACTGTGAGTTTGTGACCCTTCAAATGAGATGTTTCAGGTTTGAACCGTAGTGTGGTGGCATTGACTCTGTGCTTCAGTAGGTTGAGAAAGTAGGTATGAACAGATACTACATTGTAATATAGTCAATAGTATTCCAAAAAAAAGAAAGAAAAGTTAAGTGGATAGTGCAATTGGGTCCCCTAAGTGAAAAAATCTCCATTGAAGTCCCCTAAACCGGTAAAATTGTTTAATTAAGTCCAAATTGTCTTATTTATCAGGTTAAATTGATGCGGTGTTAACACGTGTCCTTTTTATTTTATTTTTTAAAACAATTTTTTTATTTATTAAAAATTAAAAATATTATTTATTATAAATAAATAAATAATTTTTTTTTAAAGAACAGCCACGGGTTGTCTGCGTTGGACAATTGGATTTAATTGAACAATTTTAGCGATTTAGGGGACTTGAATGCAGATTTTTTTACTTAAGGGGCTCAATTGCATTATCCGCTTGACTTAGAGGGCCAATTTAACACTTTTTCCAATAAAGTAATACTCCGTAATATAGTAGAAATGCTATTATAATTAACACTTCTTATATATAATACTTTATATTATAAATGTAATACACATTTTGCAGATAAACAAAATTTGACTAACTCAAATAATCATTGAAAAGATAAAATCATTTTTACTTTCAGTATGATATATTTATATACAAATAAATAAATACATATATGCATTGAGATAAAGAACAAGAATAAAAAATAATGACAGAAAGTAAAGAAGACAAGATTTACGTGGTTCGACAATATATCTACGTGTATGGGAGTGAAGTTCTTCTTTTATTAATTGTAATGGTTAAATATTCAGGCAACCCTAAACATATACGTATACAAATATCGTGGTATACATATAATCCTCTAGTATATATGAAACATACATAACAAGTCTCCACCTTTTGGCAAATTATTCTCAAGAGAAAAATAATTGATTTCACATATACTCATGGGCAGTGTTGCAAAAATCGTGTCGAGGCATCGATTAATTGGCGCCTAGGAGCTAGGCGGTGTCCGGCCGCGGTGAGAAATGCCAGAATCGGCCTCCTCCGTGGCCGGCCGGCTAAGCGGTCTAGGCGGCGCTTAGACCGCCTAGCCGGCCAAACCGTCACAAGGTTTTTTTTTTTTTTTTTTTTTTTTTTTTTTTTTTTTTTTTTTTTCGCGACTTCAGACCAGAAGCGGTAACGACGTGGAGAAGGAAGAAGGTGCAAAGGGCGCTGGAGATGGCCAGTGGAGACGACGACGATGACGATACTAGCTTTGTCTTTCACACCGACACAGTGGCACCTGCCTCGATTGCGACTCTGCCTCCAACACCTCTTCGTTCTCCGCCTGCCGATTGCCCTTCACATCGACGGTGGAGATCTTGAGGTGGGTTCAGAGTTCAAATCTGAAGTTGATAAGTCATCCATCAAGGCTTGGGAACTATAATTAACATATTAATAGTTTAATACTTTCAAGTTTCAATACTCAATAGTCAATATGCCTACATACTGCAATAATGGCTTACGGCTGAAATAAAAAAATAAGAAAAAAAAAATAAATTGGGTGGCTAGGCGCTGAAAAATCGACACCTAGCATCTTTTTCAACATTGCTCATGTGTTGAGATAACCATGTCTGAACTTGTCAATAGTAACTGTCTTTTTCAACATGTCTACTATATTCTCACAGGTATGAATTTTCTACAGTAATATCTCACCAAAAGCAACCAACTCTCTAACCTTATACAATCTTACATCAATATGCTTGGATCTGGCACGATATACAAATTTTTTAAGCAAAAAGATGGCACTCGGGCTGTCACAATGTAATTGAACTTTACCTTAATCAATATCCAATTCCTTAAGGCTTAATCTAACCTAAAAGCCACAAAGTCTTTTTAGCTGTCTCAGTCACAATCATGTATTCTTCTTCAGTTGTAGACAAAGCTATAACAGACTGAACTGATGATATCTAACAAACAGGACCGCCACCCAAAATAAAGACATACCCTTTTGTAGAACGTTTGTTATCCATGTCCACAACATAATATGAATCACATATCCCACAACTAAAGGCTCACTTTAATGACTCCTAAATGAAATACCATGCTCCATAATGCCCCTTAAGTATCAGGCCAGGGCATCCACTCAACTTCCTCCCAATGCAGCTTCCCAACAGGGTTGATTTGCCGGTTGTGCTGTAGGATGGATACGCAAATCACTTGCATGGGAATGTGGTTACGAGGCAGGGAAAACCGACATTGTGGAGTCCAAATCTCTGTGCAAAAGGTATTCTAACTTCCTAAGACCGACTCCCCATTAGTCTCCTTTTACTTTATTGCCACCTTCCCCATCTACCATATTTATTTGTACTAGTCTGTATTACCGAATCTCCAACATTTTTTTTCCTTCTGCTCTGACGTGACAGGTGCTCTTCCCAACCACTTTTTCTTTTTCAGATATGAATAAAGGCCATCTACCCGCTTTCACATGAAGTCCTCATCTTCCCAGCATATATTGAAAGAGTGAACCAAGTCAGAATACCCCAACTCAAGCATTCACCAAATTTTTTCAGCTGGAGGCACAAGTTCATCTAGAAAGCCCTCATTTCTCTTCTCTACACATCTTCATCTTCAGGTTAACAAAAAAACCTCTTCAAACAAATTAAAGGTTCGAATAGTTATTTAAATAATTTCATATTTGAGTTAATAGATTAATTATTTCGTTATGATGGTTTTTTTTTTTTTTTTTTTTTTTTTTTTTTTTTTTTGTATATTATATCTGTAGCATATTATTTCTTGTTTTAGGAAAAAAATTCAGACTTCTCAAGTCCGACTTTGATGTCTTGTATAATTCAGTGAACACTAAAATTTTATTTAATACAATAAACACTAAAAATTTTTAGTGTTAGCTGTTGTAATGAAATTTATTTAATACAGTAAACACTAAAATTTTTTGTATCTAGCTACTGTAATTTTCCGAATAGTTTTTTTTTTTTTTTTTTTTTTTTTTAAAGTAGTTTATATATATATATATATATATATATATATATATTTTGTTAAAAAAAAAGATAACGTTAGTTATTTTAAAAAAAAAAGATCACGTTAGTTGTTAAAAAAAAGATCATGTTTGACGGAATAACAAACGGATGACTACATTGAGTAAAAACATAAAAATCTAAGACTACATTAGATTACTAAAATTATTTAGGACAATTTAAAAAAAAAAAAAAACTTGAGAGGTATTAAGTCAATAAGAACGTGAATGAATTAACAACCACGTAGTGACAAACATTCAACCGTGATTTCATCTCTTGTACATGTGACTCATAATTTTTAAATTACTAAGATGAAATAATTTCAAGTTTGGTGTTAGATAGCGTTATTCTTCCCCAGGAATAACACAGAAAAAAAAAACAAACAAACATTGGCCTATCTCTCCTTACGAGACGCTATCGAAAAGATCAATAGCTTTACAATTATAATATAATGATAGTATATGACCAAAGAAATTGCAGTTATTAAGGATATGTATTAAGTAGATTCATGTTATTATTTTAATAATTTAGACATATTATTTCATTTACATATTTAGCTATTTTACTTTTAGTACTAAAGTAAATAAACATTTTATAGTTAATGATTAAATTGAGACTCGAAAAATTAAAGTGCTGAAATCACTGCATTCATTACTATACAAGCATCTCATATTTGCACAATCCAGCCTCTATAGTGTATACATGTATTTGGATGTTATTTTTTTTGGGAAATATCCTACTAAATTCGGACGGTAGAAGTCTGGTTTTTTTATTTTGTAAATAGAAAAAAATTCGGACTTCCCAAGTTCGACTTTGATTATTAGTTGAATTGTTTTTAGTTTTTAAGTATTATGATTTGTTTTGATACAGTTATGGCAAATGAACGAGTGCACCCCGGGCCACTGAACCCAAGTTTGCTAACATTTCAAACTCGTCATCGAAGTAGAGCTATTTGGACGGATTCTAACTATGACGTCCAAGTGAAAGCTGTTAAGTATGATACCGTAACGAGGTGTGTAGCCGTTGATGATGAAAGAGTGAAAGAGTGGCTGCGTATTTCTGGATTTTACGGTGTTTCTCAGCTCACAAGAATACAGTTAGACCATGGGCTTATTACTGCCCTTTTAGAGCGATGGAGGCCGGAGGTCCACGCT